TGCATTTGGTTTCCCAAGGCAAAAAGATTTAAAATTTCCTTTCCAAAATGCTGAGCACCATGACGCTCAGAAAAGATGTATTTTTCCACAGGCAGAAATGATCTGCTTGGAGCTATACCCACTGTGAGAACGCAGGAACATGCACCTGCCATCAGTGAGACTTCAAAATCTCTTCACAGACCTTCCATACAAAGAGCTATAAAAGCTTGGGTCCAAACAGATTGACCCATTGTTATTCATCTCAGGCTGTTGAAAGAAGACCCCACACACTCGAGCTGAAGGAACCTTTACCAGCAGTTCTCAATACTTCAGGAGCAGCTCCCTGGCTGGTGAGGGTTGGTCTCACTGCACCAAAACAACATCAATCATCAGCTAAAAAAATCCACCTCAAGGAATTTACAGTTGGCAAATATCTTACAGGTCCTAAGACATGTTCCATACATCAACATTTTCAAATGCACAGACTCCAGGCTTCACTGGTGTCTGTTCAATTTGCCCAGTATTCATCCTTTTAATTTCTTTCCTTTCCAAGGAAGAAGTGTCTCACACTGCAGTGTGAACATTCTGAAGGGCAGACACCCAGTGCTGCTGGGGACAGTCAGGACCTACTCCACACGTGGTGTGATGAGTCGGTCCCTTCCTGAAGGCTGCAAGGGAAGTCTGGTGCTGCTCCAGAAACAAAACGTTCCCCTCAGCTCACCAAAGTGCCCCTTGTTCCCAGCACCACCCCCCTGCCCGAGCAGGGACCCGCAGGGACAGCAAGGCTTTGCTCAGGGATCCTCAGATAGGCTCAGTCAGGAAAAGACACCACGAGTGAAATGAGCAGCCTGGTTCTGTGGCCTGGCAGAGCTTTGTTAAAGACTGTTACTTCAGAGAGGCAATGAAGTCACCCAATAATTAATCACATTTTCATTCCTGTAACTCTTCCAAACTTCAGCTGAAAAACAAACAATTTGTAAACCCACAACAAACCAGGTTTAGCAGAAATTTGACAAACTTCCCTGCAGTGGAAGTTGCTCCCTTTCAAATGCTCTGACCACCACACACCACACTTGGGCCAGTAACGTTTGGGATGACATGAGGAAATTAAAGAAGGATGAGGCTAAAAGGAAAAAAAAATATGATTTCATTTGTTTTTATTTTTTAAAAAAGAAAAGTGAAGAATTAGTGGCTGAGGGACCTGGGGGGTTCAGTCTGGAGAAGAGGAGGCTCAGGGGAGACCTTCTGGCTCTGCACAGCTCCTGACAGGAGCCTGGAGTGAGGTGGGGGTCGGGCTCTGCTCCCAAGGAACCAGCAATGGGACAAGGGGCAACGGGCTGAAGTTGCCCCAGGGGAGGTTTCAGTTGCATCTGAGGAAGAATTTCTCTCCTGGCAGAGTGGTGAGGCCTTGGCCCAGGCTGCCCAGGGAGGTGGGGGAGTCCCCAGCCCTGCAGGGGTTCAGAACCCGTGTGGAGGTGGCACCTGGGGACATGGTTCAGTGGCCATGGGGGTGTTGGGTGATGGTTGGACTTGATGATCTTGAATGTCTTTCCCAACCTTAATGATTCTGTGATTCTAGCCTATGATTCTAATTTCCCCTTGCCCCACAGCACTGAAAGCTGACCCTCAGGTCACCATCACTTTTGGGCTAAGAGGCAGAACCATGCAGCTTCTACTTGTGACAAGAGAAGCCCCTTCTTTTTATAAAGACAGTTCAGGATAGAACTGGCTGCATGTGAAGAGGAAAAGGCTAATGCTGTTTGCAGGGTAACGAGGGTGCTCTGGCAGCCCAAGCAGAGTAACTTGGAGGCTCTACAGCACTTTTCACTTAGTCTGCAAATCTGATGCTCAAGTCAAGTCATGGCAGAATCCCTAAGGAAGTGCTTTGGTTGGAAAGTGAAATGCTAAGTCTTGAAATGTCAAATCTTTGTCTTGTTAGCTTCCAAAGCTCAGGGTTGTTTCTCTTCTCTCCTTTGTTCACTTTAGGCTTTTCTGGATATTTCTTGTCCATATAAGAGGGAAGACAATTGGTTCACCCAAAAGGTATCACATCCAAGAGTGGAGAACTTATTGTGGCCTTCCAGTATCTGAAGGGGTCCTAAAAGAAAGCTGGGGAGGGACTTTTGACAAGGGCTTGTCACAGGACAAGGGGTAATGGCTTCAGACTGGAAGAGGGGAGATTTAGATTGAAGTTCTTCACTCTGAGGGTGGTGAGACCTTGGCCCAGGTTGCCCAGGGAAGCTGTGGATGCTTCACCACTGGAGGCACTCAAGATCAGGTTGGATGGGGCCTTGTATAATCTGGTCTAGTTGGAGGTGTCCCTGCCCATGGCAGGGGCTTGGAGCTGGATGATCTTTAAGGTCCCTTCCAACCCAAACCATCCTGTGATTCTGTGATGTGTAAGGGGTCATTTGCTTTCGAGTCTCAACATGGAGATGTGCTGAAACCAGCAGGCTCACACCCATCACCACAGATCCTGCAGAGTCACAGCCTTGTCCTCACCATCACCAGCGATGCTGAAATGACTTTACCTCCTCCTTGGAGGAGAGATGCTCCACACTCCTGCCTGTGCTGCCTTGATCCATGATTCCACAAGCCACACGAAGGTGTCCCTGCCTCAGCACTCCAGCAGGGGATTAAGCCTGACCCCTCGGACAGGAGAGACTGACCAACAATTTAACCTTTAGAAGATCAAAAATGTTACAAGATAATTGAAACCCCACAGGACTGCCAGTCTATAACCTTGTAGTCTCTGCAGCATTTTCTGACTTTAACTTTTTTTCTAAGCAGCCATGGCAAGCTAAAGCCTTCTTCACCTCTGAAATCACTGAAATAACCTTCCAGGCTCAGGAAGAAATCCACTTGATGAGCAGTGACACCTATTCCATCTCCAGACTGCTTCTATCATTGAAGTGCTGGGAAAACCAATGCCACAAACCCCAGCAGAAAATATTTTTTCTGTACAAATAAACCCAGGAACAGGACACAGAGAAACAGCCTGTTCATGTGCTCACAGATCTCTTCAGACACCACAAACACACCAGGACTGCTCAGACCTCGCCGAGGGGCCGGAGCCCTGAGCTCACAACCCCTGAGCAGGGCGAGTGTGGGTCTGTGGGCAGAGATGTGCCTCCCCTGTGCCAGCACAGCAGTGTCCTCCAGAACTGACTCAGCAGCAGGAGAGAGAAACGTCAGGACCTCAGAGCCCAGGAGCTGTGTAACAGTGAGCAAAACTCAGCTCCCACGCTGGGCAGCCTGTGTTGTGAAGCCCTTCCCTGAGGAGTTCCCCTCCCTCTCATTCCATTCCCATTCAGAAGAACAATTCCTGTAATCACACCTTTAAGAACTGACTATTGTATTTTTACCATTATTCCAGTTTAGCCAGAAGCAGCAACAATCAGAAACTAGTTCAGCAAATGAATCAGAAGAGGAATTCTTTTGTTTTCAGCCTGAAGTGAAAAAAAAAAAGCCAGGGGGCAATTCTGCTGGATCTCCTTGTCCCTAATGGAGGTTCCAGCCAAACCACTGCATGGCTGTGAAGAGCAGCTTTGGATTGGGACTCACCTGATCCTCCTTAAATCCCAACAATATATCCCAACATTCACTCAAGCCACTCTTTCAACTAGCAAGCCATGCTCCTAAAGAGAACATGGTAAAAGCAACAAATACTCTACTGAAATATTTCTGTTTGGAAGGTAAGAGACTCCTATAAATAGAGAGACTTGAGACTTCTATAAATCACTCTTAAATAAATAACATAACTCCCTACCACTAGCAGAGAAGTTTTGTTATAAAGTGAGATTTTATGCTGCCAGATGAATTTTGCTGTTACTGTTCAGTGTCATCTGTGCAGAATCAGAACCAATAACCATGCACGGGGGGCACCCCGGCACGCGGGGACCAACATAACAGCACATTTTTGGAGATGAAAAGAATAAACAGCTTCTTAAAACCACTCAAACTTCAGCAGCCCCAGCCTGCCACTGGAATGGGTTTTGTCTGCTGGCTTTGTCAAATCCCAGCTACCCTTTCCTGACTGACATTTACACCCAGCATCACTCACCTCATGATGAACTACCCTTAAAAAAATGGAGTGCATTTTTCTAATTAGTTTTTTAAACCTTTCAACCAATTTAACAAAAAGATCATTCCACGATGGAAAAAACCCATTGCATGATGGACCCAAACCAGTTACCCAGAATCAAGTGAGTTTTTTCCATGCCTCCAACACGAAGAGGCCACAGAAGCCCCTCACACCCCCTGTGGTGCAAGAGGCTCAAAGTTACATAGCCATCAAAAAATCTCCGACCCTGTTCCCTGCAGTGGCTCTGCTCTGAGCTGCTGCCTGCTCAACCATCTCCAGGATAGAATCACAGAATGTCAGGGCTGGAAGGGACCTCCAAAGGTCATCTAGTCCAACCCCCCCACCATAAGCAGGGACATCTCCAACTAGATCAAGCTGCTCAGAGCCTTATCCAGCCTGACCTTGAAAGTCCCCAGGGGTGGGGCCTCCACCACCTCTCTGGGCAACCTGTTCCAGTGGTCTGTAACCCTCATATTGAAGAACTTTTTCCTAACTTCTAACCTAAATCTGCCCTTTTCTAGCTTAAAGCCACTACCCCTTGTCCTGTCCCTCCAAACCCTTGTGAACAGTCCCTCCCCTGCTTTCCTGTAGCCCCTCTCAGGTACTGGAAGGTCACTATAAGGTCACCCCAGAGCCTCCTCTTCTCCAGGCTGAACAGCCCCAACTCCCTCAGCCTGTCCTCACAGCAGAGCTGCTCCAGCCCTCGCAGCATTTCTGTGTCTCCTCTGGCCATGCTCCAACAGCTCCACGTCCTTCCTGTGCTGGGGGTCCAGAGCTGGACACAGACTCCAGGGGAGGTCCCACCAGGGCAGAGGAGTGCAGCAGGATCACCCCTCACCGAGGGCGAGGAGCTCATCCTTGGCTTCCCAGATTTCCACCCTGCTCAGAGGCGTGTCCCCAGCCAGGCCTCCCCTGCAGCCCGGGAGGCGCCGCTCACCTTGCGGACGTGGCAGGAGAAGAGCACGTTCATGTACTTGTCCTTCCGCTTCAGCTCGTTGGCCACAGGGATGAAGGAGCTCGTGGCCTGAGGGCTACCAGCTTTCTGGAAGAGAAAAGACAGGCACGTGACTCCCCTTGGTCCTGAGGAAGGCACCCAAACACATCATGGTGGGTTGGGAGGGCTGCACCAGAGGCTCCCTCCAGCCTCTGCCTCGGCGAAGAGCAGCAGAGTTTTATTTGGTTTTGGAATAAAAAAACCCAAAAAAATCCACCCTTACCAAAACAAAATGCTTAAAGGATAGAGTAAAAGGAAGCAGTGCAACTTGCCTAGAGAGAATTTCTTTGTTCCTTCTAATTTTATGCTATTCCTTAACATCCCATTATATCTAGAATTTTGGTTTTACACCGGCTCTCTCCCAGCTTGGGCCACCTGAAGATCCTGCTGATGGCACCACTCATCCTTCTCATGCTGCTCATGAAGCTCAGGCTAGGCCTTGGTATTCAGAAAGATCACTCCTCGTGCAGTACAAGTCAAAGACTGAAACTATATAAACCCATTTACAGAATCATATTTATGATTGTTTGAATTTATTGATCAATTTATGGAGAAAATTTCAAAGCACTTCTGAACCCTCCCCTTTTCCAAAGGTCACTTTTCCAAATCTCCACCCTTTCAGCATCCTAAGCCTCAGCCACGGCTTTGCTCACTCCACTTGTACTCACCAGGGCGATGTAATTCCCCTCCCATGCTCTTTGTAGGCCAATATCAGCTCTGTGGCCCTTCAGCACTTCCATGGCAGCAACCTTGGCCCTCAGTTGAGGTAGGACTTCTGGTGGGACGCTCCGGATGAGTTCCCCTGCTCTCCACCTGCCACAGAACGCCTGAGTCAGCTCCTCAGCCTGCACCACGAGGGCTCCTTCTGCCAGATCAGCACCAGCACACCCCTACACCACACGTCAGGGGAGAGGAAGACCTTCCATTGCCTTCATCCAGCTGGAGATGTCAGTTATCACTGAAGTCACCCGTCACCTCTGACTCCAAACGGATTTGGCTGGTACACTCCCCATCCCACAGCCAGCAGTCAACTACTGGCACATCTGTTTGCAATAAAGTTTTTTGCAAGCCTGTTTTTTGGCTCATTTACAACATGATTCTCCTTTAATAGCTGGAGCTGGGCCCTACAATTGAAAGGTAACCAACTGGAACACAGAACAGGGCAGGGTAGTCCATCCATCACTCCACAGCACACTTCAGCCTTCAGGAGCAACACCAGGTCTCCAGGACTAATGCTATGAAAGTCTTTTAGCAACTAAAATTTTGTAGTTATGGTAATTGAGCTTATTCTGGGAGGAGGCCTCTCTACCCAGACAGGCTGGGGATGGCTTTCGAGAGACAACTGGGGAAGAATCCACAGCTGCCTTGGTCCAGTGCTGGTGGTGATCCCCCTCGAGGTGGCTGGACTGGAGATCTCTGGAGGCCCCATCCAGCCAACATTTCTCGTGTTCAAAAACTTCCAGAAGTAATATTTTTTCAAACTGGTATCGTAACTGCTTTGTGTAGAACTTACCCCAGAAAATAATCACTAGCTTTTACATACTTGGAGGTTGTCACAGAGGTACAAAATACTTCTGCACACAGAATCTGGGTGAATAGGGGGACATTGTTGTTCTACAGCAGAAAACACTGGCTTACTATAAGAAGTCTTGAGGAAGTTGAAAGGATTCCTTTTCTCTTCCTCCTCCTCTAACAGCAGCTCCTCTTTCTTTTAAAGCCTGTCAGAAAGGGTCCAAGGAAGGAAATACAGCACCCATCCTGACTACACCTTTGAAACAGAATAATTATTTGTCTGGTCAAGGGTACCAAAAGCCACTGGTATCTCCACCTATGACATCCAGTTAATGTTCTTCAGCCATTTTTTCAAACTTTTTTTTGGAACAGGCAGTAGCTGTTCCCTCCTCTGTCTGACAAGAGGTTTTACAGAATCACAGAATTGTCTTAGTTGGAAAAGACCTCTAAGACCATCAGGTCCAACCTTTCCCCAGCACTGCCAGGTCCCCACTGCCCCGTGTCCCTCACCCCACATCTCCACAGCTTGGAAACCCCTCCAGGGGTGGGGACTCCACCACTGCCCTGGGCAGCCTGGCACAGCCCTGGGCAACCCTCCAGGGCAAGAAATTGTTCCTCAGGGACAACCTCAACCTTCCCTGGGGCAACTTGAGGCCGCTCCCTCTTGTCCTACCCTTTGCTGGGTACCTGTGGTAGATGGCCTGGAGTGCCTCCTCGAAGCGGCGCAGCACTTTGGGTGGGGTGGGCCACTGCAGGTGCCTGCCATAGTCCTGCAGGAGCCGGACGCCCTGGAAGCGCCGGGCCAGCTCCCGCACGTAGGCCTGGAGCTTGTGGCGGCGGTAGTGCCTGAGGATGGTGAGGGCAGCCCTCGTCCTCCGGTAGCGCAGCCGGGCCAGAGTGCCCCTCCAGACCTAGGCCAGTGGGGAAACAGGTTAAGGAATAAAAAGCAGGATTTGTGGTTTTTTTTCCTTCCTGTACTCCTTCTATACTGCTGAAATCCACAAATGTATTTGATGTCACAGAATCCCAGCATGGTGGGGTTGGGAGGGACCTCTGGGGATCATCTCATCCAACCCCCTGCTCCAGCAGCTCCCCCACAGCAGGGTGCCCAGGGTCACAGCCAGCCACGTTTGGGATCTCTCCAGAGCAGGAGACTCCACAGCCTCTCTGGGCAGCTGCTCCAGGGCTTGGTCTCCCTTTTATTTTAAAGGAAGTGACTTCTGTCAATCAAATCCAATTAAAAGGTCACCAAACCCCCACTATTTTTACCAGTGTATCTAGAAACAAATTTAACTCTGATTAAAACAAGATCACTTTGAAAGGAGTTTGGGGCATGTCACTTCTGGCTGCAGGTTGATAATCAAGCAGATATGGAAACCAAACGGCATCTTCCCAGCTTGCTGGATGGGAGACCAGCTCCACCAGCAGCACTGCAAGACTTCTTAGAGCCTGGAGAGCACCACAGGCAGAAAACACTGTGAGTTCTGGGCTTCTTCCAACACCCCCTGGGACTCAGTGGGGTGCCAGTGTGACCCCCTGTGGCTACCAAGCCCCAACTGAAGGCCTCAGTGTGACGGAGCATGGTGGCTCAGCCAGGTTGTGCTGGTTCTACCCTGGAACCAGAGCATGGATCCCTCTGAGTGTGCTCAAACCGACGTGCAGGGCCCAGGGGATCCCTCAGCAGCTGTTTTTCCCTCCAACACAACCCGCCAAGATGAAGATTCTGGTTTTGTTTCCTTGTAGAATTAAAGTGGAAGGATAATGAGCCTCCTGCACATGGAGAGTGCTTCACTGGCTGCTACAGGCCCCACTCGAGGGTTTATTTCCCTCTTGAGGAACATCCCATAGCACCATTGATGCATATCAAGCCTTCTATTTACAGAAGAATTAATTAATTACCTGAGGCAATTTCCAACATATTTCCTTTATGGAGCTGATGTCAAAGTTCTCTTGACAGCTTTACTGATAATCCTGATGTATGGCTGTGAAAAACTACATGCAGCAAACAGTGTCGCAGACTGAGGGGCTGCTCTCCTCTAAACACTCAAATTCAAAGAGGTAATGAAGATTTTGGGTCCCAAACCCCCCAAAAGCAGAGGATTCTCTTCTTCCAACCTCCGTCAGAGTAACCCTCCTTGTTCTCCTTTGGCCTGACTGTCCTTGCATGGGCTATATCCCATCCACAAGAGACACAATCCACCTAGCTCTGGCAGAGCCTGGGGAGTTGTTTGAGCACCAACCACCAACTGGTGTGTTTGTTGCTCCTTCAAGCACACCAGAAGAGAGTCAAACCCCTGCACAATGCTGCCCAAACATCTGAGGTAGGGCTGAGCTGATCCATCCCTCAACTCGTATTTCACTGTAAGCCTGCAACCTCCAACACTTTATTCCAAGATAAAACTTGCTCCTCCAAACACACGAAATCAGCCCACGCTGTTCCCTGGGACACTCAGCGAGGCGAAGGCCACACTGCAGCTCCACGTGGCTGAGAGGCAGAGGGAGCCCAGCTCACTCCTGTACTGTCTGCTGTAGATGGGTGGTAGGAAGAGGAGGAGAGGAATGGTCCTGGACAGCAAAGTGTAGGAAAATGAAGCAAAACAAGCAACCAGGGGAACAACTCAACACCCACAAGGTGACTAAAGGCCACATGCTCCTTAGCAGCCCCCGGCCCCTGCCAGGAGCCACTCTCTGTTCTTAGTAGTCACTCCTAGTGCACTCAGTTACAACTGTAGTTTTCGTTCCATCTAACCTGTGTGTCACAAAGAGACACCAGAACGTTGCCATATAAAGGTCATCAGAGGCCCTGAGAAGCTCTGGGCTTCCTGACTCCATGAGCTAAAACCCACTCGCACAGGGTCTGGATTCCACCCAAAGTGTGTAAGGCTGATTTGAACCTGGCATGTCTGTGTCTGAGGGCACATCAGGTTCAGAAACTATGTGAATTTGACAGAATCAGCAACTAGCATAAAATAATTGAGCATCTAAAGAGTACTGAAGTCATTTGTACCCTTTTTTGAAAGAAAAGTGAGGGCAATTTGGATTGTTTGAGATATTTAAACCGAAGCGTCACAAGATGGACTTGTTAGGAACGTATGGACAGTAAACAAGATAAACTGAGTGAAGACCTACTGCCAAGTTCTCATTTTTTAATTTAATAAGAATAGGAATGAGGAACAAAGGGCTCCAGGTCGCAGCTAAACAGCCCTCTGAACATTACAAAGGATCTCAAGAAAAGAACGGCCACGGTACATTTGTGTAAGCTGCTAAAGACTTTGTAGGGCTTCCCTTCTGTCAGTTTTACCCACACCCTCTCTGAATTGTTTGTAGATCCAAAACAAGGTCTTGCTTTTGCTTCCTTGTGCTTGCAGCAGGCACGCTGCGAGGCAAATCTCTTGCTGTGGTTATTTTCCACACCAGTCAGACACCGGTGGAACAAAGGGGCTGCAGCAGATTGCCCCGATGTCGTGTCAGCTGCATCGCTGCAGAAATTGGCTTCACAGCAAGAAGTGTCACAACTGGCACAAACACCAGCCTGCCCACGGCAGTTCCCCGGCCGAGCCGTGCCCCTCGGCTCCTCACCCAGCCAGCCACTGATGAAAAGCTCATCCTCAGGCTGTCACAACTGCATAACCTCACCCCCAGCACAGAGCCGGCAACAGCCACCACGGCAGCACCTCCCAGGAGCGAGGGGGAAGCCAAAGACAAACAAACTCCTCCCAGGGAACTGGGGTACAAACACTTTTGAAATGAATTGTTTTTCTGGCTTGGTGTTTTTCATCTCAACCACAGGGCTCAGTCCTGCTTGAAGCAGCCCCTCGGTTAGGCTGAGGTGCCAAGGCAGGCTGACTGCCTGGTGGTCTAGCAGACTCCTCCAGCAACATGGACCATCCAAGCCTGGGGACAGGAGGAGGCTATCAGAGCAACCAGCTCCTTGTTCAGCAGCCACTTGGTGGTGTGTAGCTGTGGCAATGGGTCAGAACCATACCCCAGCCAAACAAAGGTGCTGGAGTGTTTCCTACCAACACACACTTCTCCCAGGCTTGGAGAGCGCTCGCTCTCTCCATGTACCTTTTCAGCTCTTCCTCTCACCTCCAGTTTGTAACTCAAGAACATTAAGCAAATTAAACTTAAAAAAAAAAATCACATTTCCAGAGCTAAGTTTCTCACAGCATTTAACAGATTCTCACGTTGCAGAAGCTGCTTTTCTGTTAAATGCTGGAGGACAATGGTAGAACCATGGCCAAACAGGGGAGACCTGCACGCCAAAAACCCAACAGAACGAAGACAAAGTCCTAGTGTCCAGGGTCCTAATTCCTTCTTTTGGCCCTCTGTACCCAAGATAAAGTCCAAGTCATGTTCATATGTTTCAGAAGGATTCAGCATCTCGTATACATCACCCTTCTGAAACCTGACAACCAGCGAGCAGCCTTCAGCTTGAACTTAAATCAAAGCTACACCCCAGCAGACTGGTAGCTGCAGCATTTGGCATTTAGCAGATCCTGCAAGGGCAGAGTAAACAAGCCTGAGCATTGCAGTGCCCTGTGTCATTCCTCCTGCAGGCAAGAGGAACATGATATGTGCTTCCACCTTTCTGTGGCTTTCACTTCTGGTTAACCTGGCTTCCCAAAGGGACCAAAGACAGCCCTGACCCCACCTGACCTCCTGAGACTGCCCTGGTATCTTCTGAATCTCTGGCCAGCTTCAAACAAATCCGACAGAGGAGCAGGAGACTCAAAGAGGCAAGTCCATGTATCTTTCAGGAAAAATCAAGAGCAGGGTAGAGCAAGCCTCGAATTGGAGTGACATCCCTGGAAAGGCTTCAGGATGAGCTGCAGAGCCATCTGCCTTCACTGACCTCCAAACCCCAACCAGCACACACAGAGCTCCCAGCCAGGCACAGCCACACCACACCCTGTGCCAAGCCAGGCAGGCAGAGGACACCAGAAGGATCTGGCAGGGTTCAGGGGGATGAGGAGGTGGAGATGTGTGCAGGACACAAGGGGTACGACGGAGGACATGATACTGGCAGAAAAGTGGTCACAAGAAGAAAACTGCACAGCGAAGGGGACCACGAGCAAATTCAGGACTCACGAGCAGAGACATAATTATAACTGTGATTATGTTGGAAATGGAAAGAAAAGGAGTCTTTATCTTTTTTTTAAAACCCAAACAAATAAACCAACCAAACCACATTCCCCCCCATCAGTCCCCACCCACGGTCTCTCCTCATCTCTTTTCACACCTCTGCCTTCTCCTCTATGCTTTGGCCTCCTAAAGGTCAGGGGAAGACAAATTAAAGAGGGCAAGTCAAATTATGACTAAAGGGCTGGGAGGATGGACAGAGAGAAAGGAAAAGGTTCAAAAACCACAATATCTGAACACCACAAGAAATTCAGCCAAAACTCCTGAACATTACAAAGAGCATTTCTATGGCTGCTTCCAGTGGAGAAGAGCTCCTTGCTGTCTGCTCTGCCACAGCCTCTTTCACTCCTTCAGCTGTGGCCAGGGAGTTGGAACGGATCACTGGGACCATGAAAAGCTCCAGACCAAGAGAGATCTTCCTGCACAGCTCTGGGACTCAGTGGTCCCATCGGTGCTCCCACCTCTGCTTTGGCAGCTTCTAAAACTGTGATGGGCACAAAAAGAAACTGAGTGTCCATCCACACCAAGAGTCCCATCTTACCTTAGGGGAAGCACTGAAATCTCTTCTGAAGGATGTTTAATTCACATGGTTTCTGATTAAAATTTAATAACTTAACATTACAATGAATGGAAAAGGAGACCTGGACGTGCCTTTAGAATCAGCTTAAATACCTCAGTGAGCTTCTAACAAAGTTTCTAAGTTTAAAGAAACCTAATGCAGACCAAGCCCATCACCTTAGGACACTATAAATCCCACAGACCAACCTGT